CCCAAAGGAAGAATTCACCCCACCACACACTTGAAAGCACCCCTCTGCTTTTTTTAAAGAATGTAAAAAGCTGAAATCCTTTTTCTGCATAGCCTAAGCTATCCTAAACACTACGGATTTCCAGTTACAGAGTTAATGGTTACTACACTTAATGCAGAAATAGGAGAAACCTGAAAATGTTCACAACTACTTCCCTGGAAAGCAAGAAGCGAAGTTCTTACCTTGGCTGCTCGAAGCAACATTTCACGTTCCTCTTCATCCTTTCTCTGCTTTTCTAGGTGATCAAGCTTTTCAAGAAATCTCAGCTGTGCTCTGGTGTCACTAGAGACGATGTAGCTATCGCTCCCCTGGAAAGAGAAGTTTGTTATAGACAACCAGACTTTTATATACACCACCACAGCTAGAAACCCAATGGGAACAACCTAAAAGAACACTGGTTTTTTTCAAAGCTGAAAAGCGTAGGTTGTTTTAGAAAGACTTCAGGTGGTAGGTAGTCATTTACACACCTCCTCTCCACCGAAGCATGTTCCCCAGAGTCTGTGACTAGTAAGAGGTTATGGAACAACTGACATTAACAACATCTGGTCTATATTGGCTGTACCAACAACAAAATCTTTATGTCTAAAGGCTAAAATTTTGTTTTCAACAGCAACTTCACATCCAGTAAACTTACGCACAAGACTGTCTTCTGGACAGGTTAAGAGGAAAAAAAAAAAAAAAAAAGAGAACTGCAAAGCAGCAGAACATCAAATCCTTTCCCTGCTAAAGAGAAAGGGGTGAAGAAAAAAAAAAAAAAAGTTGACATTTTAAGTTTCTGGTGTTTGGTGTTCTAGTCTCACCCATTTAATCCAAAATTTGAAATAAGCCTCACCTGGTATTTCCAAAGAGGTTTCATGGAGCAGAGAGGTTGTTTAGAAGTAGTTACAATCAGTTTTGGGGGTGGAGAAAGTCATGTAATTTATACATGGTTTATTATAGCTTTAGGAATACATGTTTTTGCCTCCGTGGGTGCTCTCAAGTCATGGAATAGTTTATGCTGAAAGGTGACCTCTGGAAGTCACCTGGTCCAGCCCCCTGTGCAAAGCTGGGCCAGTGAATACAAATGAATAGTTCCAACAATAACTCAAACACATGTGCACTGAAACAAGACTACAGTCCTTTTGGCCTGAAAAGTAACAATCAGTAATTAATTTTTCATACTATTTTTGCCCTCACTAGAAAGTCTGAGTTTACTTTAGATAGGAAATAAGACAGAGAAAGGAAAGGTCTAAAACCTAGTCAACTGCAATGAAATGCTTGGTTTTACTACTCTGCTCTTCAAGCCGTGCCTTGGCCAGAGGGCATTGGGTAACACAAGGCAGGGAGCCCACCCCTCTATACCACTCTCTAATGCCCATCCTAGAGTCATCTTCTTCCCATGTTACTTCGTGAACTTGCCTTTTCCTGCGAAATTTACCCTTGGGCTTTTACCAGCCAAACACATCACATACTCTCAGCAACCCTTCTTTCTAACCTACCCCAAACTCACACTTTAATGAAGCAACCTTGACACCCAGCTGCTCTGGAATAAGCACAGCATGGTTTACAGGTATATTTTAGGCAAGGCTGTATTTTCAGTATATGGACTATCAGTGACTTCAGTTGCTAATTTTTTGGTTTTCAAACACACCATGCTCAGACCCTTCTTCCCACACCCAGTCATATAGTTTTAGAAGCTGGAAGGAAAGTAAAAGTCCTCTTGTGGGGCACCATTGCCTCCCAGTCTGAATTCTTACAACCCAGCCAGAGCATGAAATCAACTCCTCTTCTGGTATTAAGTTGGGCCCTTTTCAGTGAGCCACCACATTGTCACAGAGCCCATCTGGAATAGCGTGTCCAGTTCTGGGCCCCTCAGGTCAAGAAGGACGGGGAACTGCTGGAAAGAGTCCAGTGCAGAGCCACAAAGATGGTTAAAGGGGTGGAACATCCCCCTCATGATGAAAGGCTGAGGGAGCTGGGTCTCTTTAGCCTGGAGAAGAGGAGACTGAGGGGTGACCTCATCGATGTTCATAAATACTTAAAGGGCGAGTGTCAGGAGGATGGAGCCTGGCTCTTCTCGGTGATGGCCAGTGACAGGACAAGGGGCAACGGGTGCAAGCTGGAGCACAGGAGGTTCCATATGAACATCAGGAAAAAGTCTTTCCCTGTGAGGGTGGCAGAGCACTGGAACAGGCTGCCCAGAGAGGTGGTGGGGTCTCCTTCTCTGGAGACATTCAAAACCCGCCTCGACCCTGTCCTGGGTGACCTGCTCTGGGTGGTCCTGCTCTGGCAGGGGGGTTGGACTGGATGAACTTTCGAGGTCCCTTCCAACCCCTGACATTCTGTGATATCACCAGTAGCGGCTCAGACCACACCATGTGTTGCAACCAAGACGACTTTCTTTCCCAAGCAGGGCTTGTAGCTCTGCAAGAGTCCAACAAGCCTTTCCCCCCTCTTCTGTTACTGCTTGAGATTTTTTTTCCACTGCTCCCCACAAAACATACCCTACTTGGAGTCAGTCTCAGTACATTAGTACAATTTGTTTTGAAGCAGCAGTTTATAATAATCCACCACCATGCTGCAATCCTTTTAAAGGGACAAAGAAGAAAGCCGTATTACCAGAAGATTATTTTTTCTCAAGTTTAGAAGTGTTTTGCTTTGGAATGCCCAAAGTCAGAGTCAGATACTTACATTTTTAAAGCCAAATTCAAGACCCTACGCCAGTTAGGAATGCAAGCCTCTCAACCAGAAGCTCTCCAATGCACTACCACGAGCTTTTATGGGACAAGACATGAGTGCATCCATAGTAGTATTCCAGCTCATCGACAAACGTTTTAGGATACCTTATTTCAGGAATTTTTAGAAGAGGAACACCTGCATTTCTATTTTGTCCTACTCAAACTTGTTCTCTGTGATCATTTAGCACTGAATTCCTTAGACAGAAAACATTATGTTGTATACCTGTTCATAACCTGTAGCCACTCGTGATATGATGAAGTAAGTTGGATTCAGTGTTTGTCCATACAACAGTTCAACATCCTCACACAAGGACAAACTGTCCTCCCAGCCTCAACAGTGCAATCCCAACAACACTGAAGTTACAAGCATCATCGAGGCCAGGATTTAAGTTATGACAGATAAAGCACGTAACCACAATACAGAGCATGGTTAGATTTGTATGTGCCACAGCTGACCTTGTATATCTGACAGCTAAAAAGTCATATTTACTTTAACTGAGCTAAATTTAATCTGGAGTTCACCAAAAGTGAAAGAAAGTTTTTCCGCTACCCTGAAAGAAGTCGCTGCTTTCACACAACAGTACGTTAGTGCATCTATACAATCTGGTTACAAAATGTGTTCCTCCACACTTTGTGGTCTTACCGAGGCTCAACCTTTGCTTTTATGGTCTTACCAAGGGCACTGCAACAAGAGTCACAGCACAGAGCAGCTTACAACAATCTGAAAGGCTATTCCTACTTCAGATAGAGACCACCACGATAGTTTTATCCTAATTAAGTTAGTAACTTCCAATTATATCATTGGGGCTTTTTTTTTTCCTCTTAGAGTTAGTGAAAAAGGGCAAAAGGTGGCAAGCCTACATGGTGGCATGTTATGAAGCTTTTATCCTGCCAACTCACTGGTTCTGCAGAGCTACCCATCAGATGTGAGCTGCTAGGCATGAGCAGAGCAAACTGGGAAGAAGAGTTTCCTGAGTACGATCCCATGGATTATTGGCTTTTTACATGCACTTCCACCCTAACAGTCGTTACCTTGACTTCACCACACCTATCCCTGTTTCTGGCCGTCCTTCTGTACTGAAGACAGGTCGATACAAAGCCTTGCAGGGCAACTACCAAATCCTCTTGGAAAGGCTCTGGACAATTCTCTCAAGTACATGGAGCCGACATTGCACACTGGTACCTATCGATAGCTTAGAGGGAAAAAAGGACGGTGGCAAGCACCGGGGGAGATGGAATACAGGGCTGCCAAAATACATATTCAAGTCTGTAACAGGGCCCCAAAAGCCTGTAGTGTTCTGTCCTTGAACTTAGAAATCTAAGAGCCTGCCAAGCATCTCACAATAATCCTACTCACAAATGCAATCCTGTAGGAGACTCCTCTGTCCTGTAACACCGCCTTCCTAACAAAAGACAGTACCTGCGCCTCTAGGATTACTTTTTGTTTGTTTGTTTGTTTTGTTCTTGAGAAACAGGGAAAGAAAGCAATCTTATTGCAGTCTTTCAATCTTATCATTGCTTCCAGCAATTCAATCAGACAAAAACCTATCAGTTTTTCTACTGCTTTAGTTCAATGAGAAAGTAATCAGCCCCACCAAGCCCACTGTCCAAAAACATTTCCTTGTGTCCTTGGTATCTGCAAGACACTAAGTCCTACTGGTTACTCAGGACTTCAGCTTCCACCTTGCTTTTGCTCATGAGCACTATTGGATCTCCCACTTCAGAGAGACAACACAGAACGTGCAGATTTCTAAAGACTTCTCATAAAAACTTCTACACTTTTTCTCTATAGATTTTGTTTTTCTACTGCATCTTCTTCTGGCAATGAACAGCATACTATAACTGCTCCAGACATCACTATAAATACTTGGAAGTTTCCAAATAGTTCCTGCTCTTTACTATTGCTTCTCCAGTGCTTAAAAGCCTATAAAAAGTGTTCAGTACAAAAATAACTCCTATCCCATCAGTTACTTGCTCTTGTTAAGTTTCATTAAGTATAAAGTTTCTGTAAAAAACCAAACAAACAGACAAACAAGAAATTCAGAGTTGACAGATAATCTGCTTCTAACTTCCAAATTTTCCTAAACCAGTTTGATACTGAAAAAAGTAAGGACTAATACCTTATTATTGAATGACAAAAAAAAAGCCTCAAAAAGCTGTTTCAGCCACTAGTAAGTTACTGCTTCCCATTTGTACCACACAAGCATCTTGAGGGATATTGGCTCACTGGAACCCAATATACTTTAGACTGAATGGAGCCAACACAAGACGGAGGGGGAAGGATGGAATCTCAAGTAGCATTGTCGGAAAACACATTCCAGAAACTTTAAGATCAAAGGGGTCTCTGCCTTCACATGGAGCACTTTCTAAAAATAAAATACACCGTTCAGTTTCCCAAGGCTTTTTACTGAGCCAACACTGCAGTTCCACCAACAGTAAACGCATAAAGCAAACACGAGCCCCTAAATCAACCAGATCACCAAGAGCATACAGAAATAGCTCTACATTTAGCATGCAAGACAGATTTTGTTAACAGCCACCACTTCTACGGAAGAGGAGAAACACACACATTTATTCTTATGCTGGGTTTTAAGAGCACCTATCCAACAAGTTGAAGGGAAGCTGTAAGGAACAGTTAGAGGCTATAAACACTTAAAACAAACCCAGCCTTTGGTAGATACTGAAAAGGCACATATTGCATATGATGTGCCTGTACTTGGGAGAGGTTTACCTTCAAGGCTGTAAAGCAGGAAAACTTTGGTGCAAAACTTGCTTAATGATTTCCTTTACCTTGTGGGTTGATACTCTGTGCTGAGCAATTACAGTTAGTTTTTCTAGGAGCCCTCGTAATCTCTCCTGTGTAGCGTGGGAGATCAAGTTCACAACATCAGAGTTAAGTTCCATAATGTCATGCCTTTTACCTGTGGAAGCAGAGAAAATCCATTACATGTTTTAGTAGTAGCTGATAATTGAAATAATTAGCACAGCAGGTATTCTGTTCCCCCTGGAAGTCATACCCATTATGAATAAAGGTTTGGAGATTATGATTTTCCTGGTAAAGTCACAACTTCAAAGATCTTAGACATTACATTAATAAAACTTAGCCTGGAGCTTCAGAAAATATAGACATTGTTTCACTTAGCCTCCAGAACCACTCTCCTTGCAAGGTCATTTATAGGACAAAGTTAATAAGAACACAAATCAAGCTTCATGTTCGGGGAGGGGGAGAAGTGGTAGCTGTAGAAATTAGTGCCATATTCTGTTAATTCCAGTAATTAAAAAAATAGAGAATTACATTTTGCCCTGCTTGACACTGTGCTTGTTAACAACTCATGACATTTATTTGACGAGCAGGGATGGGTTTTGCAGCACAGTCCCGGCACACGGGACCCTCTCACCTGCCTTGACCGACCGGCACAGGGCAGACAGACCCAACGCTCCCGCGGCAGCAGCTCGGACAGCCCAGTCCGAGGCCAGATGGGGTCACCACGCCATCACCTTCAGCCTTTTCCCTCGGGCTGCCGCTGCCTCTCCGCGTTTCAGCGGCTGCAACCCAGGCAGAGCTGCCCGGAGCTGGGCTGGGACAGAGAAGCCTTCCTGACCCCTGGCCAGCAGCCTCCCACGCCTCCCACGCAGTACCTGTCGCTCTTCCTCGGCCCTCGCCGCCTTTACAGCGGCTGTAATACTTTATGGTGCAATATACAGCACGCCTTCAAAACCCATTTCGGTATTTATTGACAAGCGGAGTGTTAAGAATGGATAAACAGTACACTGTAAAAAACAACTAATCACCTATTTCATTTGCCTTTGCTACCCTAACCGAAAGCGAGTAACAACCTCACCAGACAGGGAGAATCAACGATATTTTCCCAAATATGATCAAAGTGTTCCCGCTATGTGATCTTGGCCAGCAAGCGTTGGCCTGTACCTTAGCTGAGTGCAAAGCTCATTTTGCTCAAGCACCTTTCAACGCTTCCTCAGCGGTTTCCCGCTATACTATCAGAATACAGAAACGTCAACTCAAACCAAAATCCCCCCAACCTCGAGACCTGCCTTCACACACACACACAGCTCCTAAGCCAAAGAGGGCTCGGTTCAAGAGTCGAAGCATTCATTCTCCTTGCAATCAAAACACTTCTCATTTATGACACGAATTATTATTCATGTGGAACAGCTACCACGCCAGCCATGAAACAGCCAGGCTTGTATTTTCCACCTTTCAATGAATTGTCTCCACACCCCAAACCAGACAATTGCTCTAGAAGTACTTTGTCTGTATGTTTCAGTAGAGCTCTTATTTTTCCTTAGATCTACTTCCCATGGATGACCAGTTAACCCTCTACTGGATTTTGAGAGCAGCTTCTGGGCACCAGTTTCAATGCATATTTTCCCTTTTCCACTAGCAGCACAGCATTTATGTCACCCAACCCAACAGCCACCTGAGCCGTACGGGGCATACCTGGCTAACTAGGGCGGGATGCATGGAGGCAGCAGGCGCAGGTTACGGGCTCATCCCAGGCTCGCTGCTTAGTTTGGACTAAGAACAAGTTGCACGTAGGAAGGCTGCGATCGTGTAGTTAAACCACTAGGACAGAACTATGACTGGATGTGTGAACTGCAGCTTTCCTGGACGCTCAGCTGCCAAACTCACTGTCCCAGTGTGACAAGCCACCAGGCACAGAGCAGGAGCAAGCAACTGCGCAACGTTCATCCAGTCTGCTGCAGACAGCAATGGCACCTGTCAGTGTGGTGCTACACAAGCGCATGCTCCTTGCTCTGACATAACACAACACTGCTAAGCAATAGTTACTATTCTGCTCAGAAATTAACAGCTGAGATGATACATACACTAAAAATTTCCAATTACAGGTTGGTCTCAGCCATTCAACATCCACTCCACAGTACTATTCACTGATACAAACAGCTTTAATATCTCTTTTGCATAAAATTAATGAAAGATTTTTCCACAGAGGGAGTCACAAAGGTCTGCCCTGTGCATACTGGTGGTTTGAAACTTCTTCCTAATCACAAGGGCAAGATCTCTGATGTTGGTCAATAGAGTACTTCTATTTGAGCAGGCTGAGGAACGCAAAAGCTGCAAGGAAAGTCAGTGTAACGCATCAAGTTCGGAGCTGCAGAAGCAGCAAAGAACGCTTAAGCGTTTGCTTTGACACTAGCATCTCTGTGACTGTTACGTGTTCCATTAACTTTAAGAGTAATAAAGTTGCTCAGGTCTCTCAGGTAAAAGTGGCACCAATTTCATTTTTTCTGATTGTGCTTCAGACTACTTCTCTAAGAACTTTAGAGAACAGTCGTTTCCAGAAGGGGAAGTAAAAACTCAGTATAGTTTAGTAGAAACACACTAATTGAGATGGCATCTCTTAATAGTTCCAGCTCCTTCTTCAAAGATTGGAGGCTGGCTGATGAAACAAGGCGAGGAAATGCTACATCCATACCTATCTGCAAGGTATGCTTTGTTCTCACCTATGTTCAAGATCTTCTTCTGAAGTGCTTCCGAGGAGAGAAAAGGTTCATCCGCACAAGAGCGGATCACTGTACCAATGACTTCAGAGTTTGTGGCCAAAATGCACACGCTCTCCTCGCTAAGATTGACCCCAGCCATAGAAGTCACATCGTTTATGTCCTCTTCATCCCTACTAAAGAGAAAAAACAACATTTTATGCTTCATTCAGAATGGACACAAAGGAAAAGCCTCTCAACTACCAACAAATAGCAACATTCACGTATCTTGGAGGCTACCCCTATACAACAGATGTTTAGTGTGGGCAGGGACAGGCGACTTTCACACGTCAGTGAAGTGCCTCCCTCAAACATTAGCTTGACTAATGCCTCAGTTGCTAGGCGTGCAAACCTTTCACATGAAACTGAAATTTTGAGCAAACTCAGAAACTGAGGACTGAGGTAAACCTGGAGTAAAAGTCCCCCACCCTGCACCACCACTCTTGCAGCCTGAAATTTGTTCTAAAACGCTAATTCACCAGGTAGAACCAAGCGTGGAATAAAAGTTGAATACTGACACATTGAACTTATGCCCCAGTTCTCAACATCCCTCCATTAACCGGATTCTGCCGTAGCAGCTTCTGTCTACATGTTCAAAATAAAAACTTAAGTCTGGCGTGCTTAGGGCTAACACAACTAAGACCAGCTGTAATTCATGGCAAAGCTCATGTTAGGCCCATGTGCCTCAGGGTTTTTTTTTATTTGTTTGGGTTTTTTTGTTTGTTTTTTTTTTTGTTTTGTTTTGTTTTTTGAAAATACCATTTTAGGTAAAATACTGAATTAATTTTATATGGGAAAACTTTTTGCAAGATTTTAGCAATGAAAATACCAAAGTTATTTTCAATTAAGTGTAGATCATCAAAAGAAAGCCTTTTTTGCTTCACAAAGAGACAAAGGCCCTAATGGTGGCTTCAGGGGTTTAGAACCAGAACACAGGATGCCATCTTAACACAGACAGGTAGCAGTACTCAATCTGAGGGCCTTTAGATTCAGAAAACAGAAGAAAATCAAACTCAAACCACAAACGCACCTCTCCCGAAAAGTATTCGCTGGCAAGATTCGATAAAGTCCATCTTCAGGAAACACTGCGTGGCCTACATAACTCTTGAACAAGGGGGTAGTCAGAAACTTGCCATTCTTAGGCAAAAAGGGATCTTTTGGAGGCTGTCTTCTGGCCAGCAACAGGTAGAAGTTGCAGTTATCAGAACATGGGTTGGGTTTGAGAAATACCCAAAAGACAGAGTGTCGGGATATTTTCTTAAACTATAGATGCATTTTCTCCTTTGGGCTTCAAGAGGTTTCTAGGGCACAAGTCTTCTCCTACGAACTTCTAGAGAGAAGGCTGGCTAGGAGAGGAGCCCAGCCTTCCCCTACTCTTCCTGCCGCTCGTTTGTGTGCCCTCACAGCTAGGTGTTTCTACCAGATCCATTCAGGGAAAAGGAGACCCAAGAGATTCTCAAAATAACTGAATTCATTAAGTCTAACTAGACATTGCCTCCTGACTAGGCTTCTGCCCCCCCTCCATCGCGCTAAGAAAAGCATTAAGCCCCAGGACGACCCGAATGGTTAACTGACCGCAGCCACGATTCAAAGCCGAAGCCACCGCTGCCAGAACAGCTTCCCTCGCCTGCCCCTGCCCAACCAGCAGCCGAGCAGTTCCAGGCTATACTCATGCTCTATCAGCCGAACAGAGACCCTGATCTCTCAAGAAGTGAATGAAGCTTCACCGAACGCTAATTGAGTGCTAACTGATCTTCACAAGCACACTCCAGCTTCCTCTTCTTAACAGCCACTACAGAGAAGTCTTTGCTGGTGGCAGACAAGCGCAGTGACTGCCACGGATCTGCTGATAAAGGAGATGACAAAATCGGCACAATGAGCACACCAAGAGCACAGATCACAAGCTATCAAAGCTACAGATGCTGAACCTGATGCTACCCTGATGGAGCTGTTTATGGAATCCAAGCAAGGACGCTTACACCTCAGGTACAACTGTACAGCACACAGCTTTAGTAAATCATTTTAGCTTTTCATCTGGCCACGTGCTCCAAATACTCAAACACAAGTTCCAGTTCTCTAAACCCAACCTTTATCAGGTTACTATTTTCTTTAATAGTTCCATGCACACAGTTTCTCTGAGTACGCACACACGAAAGCTTACAAGCAAGTAGACATCTCTACCTGTACTGTTTTTAAGGACCAATTCTAACTTCTTCACTGTGGGATCTAAGTTTGCATTAAGTCAGTGAGTCACTAGGCTTGATGAAAGATGGATTTGCACCTCTGAAAACACTGCTGCGCTTGTTTTGCTTCACCCAAAGAAACCATCACTACGTTTCCTCAGAAGCAGTGCTTACCAAAGATTAACCTAAGTTTCAGAAGCCACGTTAAGTTTGTACTTTCTACTATTCTTTTTGCCTTGCTGTTCAAACAAGCCTCAACCATTTTACATACACTATCATGTACTTCAAGTAAGCTATAAAAATCATCCTACTAAAGTGCTACAGCTACGAATTTCCTTCCCTGTATTGGCTGAAAAGCGAGTCTGTGGCACCCTCTGGTGTTTGACCAACGCACGTGTCCTCCTCTGAATCTGTTTATTTACTCCATTTTATACAACAGTCAAAGGGAAAACCAGAACACAAACCTCCGTGCACCACCACGGGCAACTACGTGGGGCAGAACAACCCCAGCTGAGCAAGAACCACCAGCACTCACTACCACCGCGGGGCAGGAGGAGCAGCTGCCCAGATGTTTTCCACTCTGCTGTCTCACTCCTGTTTGTTTGCTAGCACATTCCAGGCAAAAGGCACAACTCAGTTGTGCGTGCTTTGGAGAAGAGCTCTATGAAACAGAATAGATGCAAGACAAATGTTGGAAGATGCCAATACATGTCTTATTTTTTCCAGCGTGCTCTAGCATATACTTTACAGAAGGACACAGTGCAGTTTATAAAAATCTTGATGCTTTTAAACCAGACTGCCCTTTGCAATGCATGCCATGGGGCAGCCAAGTGCCAGCGATGCCCACACTCAGCTGAAATAATTTTTGGGAGGTTTTTTTTCTAACTGGGGGGGAGGGGGAATCACCATTTTTTCCCACTGCTCATCTCAACCTGAAACAGCTCATTAAAGAGCAGACAAGGTCAACTGCAGCTGATTGAGCACAGCTTAGTGAGTATCCCAGCCTCGAAGCCTAACCCAACCCAGTCACACCAGGGCAGAGGCAGTCAGGCGCGGCGACACGCTGCAACGAGAGCCGCAGTCGGAAGCGCCACCCGCGCAGTCCCAGCAAGCACCGGACGCGCGCTCTGCCCATCACCAACCCCGCCGGAGCCGACGGGCCACGGCGCTCCTGGCTGCCTCGCCCGTGACCAGCGGCCGAGGGACCACAGCTCCCACGGAACAGCTGTGCTGGGAACAGTGCGGAGAGCAAACCACGGCTGACTGGGGAACACCCGGATTAACACTGCGCGGGGCTCGACCTGCTCCGAGAACACCGAGCCTCGACTGCGGGAAGCCAAAAGCTCGGGAAGCCAAAAGCTCAGGTACCCGCTGGCCAGGTCCATATATACGAAGATTCTCGCATGTAGCTTTCCAACTCAGAAAGCTCGGTTGTAGCAGTGAATAGAAGCTCAGCAGGGGGCTGCATCCAAAGACATCCATTGCTAGAATAATTTAAGGCACGTTAGAGATTCAAATCCGAATTCTCACAGACTTAAGCTACTTTGAAAATTGTAATGCAGAAGGAAGAACAGAAATCCATCTTGGATCACACTGTAAAAGCACAGTTTTTCCTACACTAAGAATTTAACAATGCAGGGAAGGAACATCAAGAATTCAAACTTTCTCACATAAGACAACTGATATATCTCATTGGAAGACCACAGAAAAAAGTTTCTAATTTTTGTAGGAGTTAGTTTGCTTGTTACTCTTTGTTTTTTTAATTATGATATTTATGATGCGATTTTTTTTTCCAAACACCACTACCCAAAATTACATCCCAAATTATATTCTGAAGTATATTTCATAAAAGCTTGCGGCAGCTGAACAGAGATTTTGCATTAACATCAGCTTTTCCTCTCAACTTCTGGCTACCAGTGTTTTAAGCACTCGCTGTATGTTACTGTAAACAACAGCTCGGTCTGTATCAGTGCACACAAAGCTGCAGCTTTCAAGAGATGAGAAGTCAACTGGTCACAAGACAAAGATGCCATGTCTGCTTTTATTCCTGGAAAAGCAGCTTCAAGTCATAAGGCCAGTAATGCGTATGGCAGCCTGTACCTCTGTTCCAACATTACATTTCAGGGCTACAAAACTAATTTCTGCTTTTGAAAAGTTAATCAGTTACCAGAACTAAAAGCTTTAAGCACTCTTGTAATGTAAAGGCCTGGAGAACATGCCAGAAGCCATAATTAAAGGTGTAGTCAAAGACTTTCACCTCTGCATACAGGAACAAGCTTGTAAGAGGAGCTAATAAAAGATTTTTAAATACAGCACAGAGCTGTAGACAGGTTACAAGCCAGTCCGAATCACAGTTCAATGCTATCTGTCCAGCTGTAAAAAACAGAGGTTATATCTGCTTTAATCCTATGGAGAGCTTTTAATACAAGGTACCTTTGCTTTACATTAGTTAATGGTACTCGTAGGATGGAGATCAATACACTGGCTCTACAAGTGAAACTGATACATATTGATGCACACTGGTTTTATTTTTTATTACACTCTTGTGTAATTTTAGTTACACTCTTGTGATAGCACAATGAAAATCCAACTTCACCAGCACAGTTTTCTTATACTAAGAATAATTAACATCTGCTATGAGGTCAAATTTTTAGGTTCCCCCTTGCCAATTAGTAGCATAACATCAAAAACACCTATCAAAACCAAGTTTCTAAAGAAAGTTGGTTTTATCTGGGCTCTGTTCCCACCTCTATACTTGCTGTCTGTTCCTTTTCTTCCTTCCTATAGTAAACTTCTGATATTGTTTATTTTTACCTGAAGGATGTTGCTCCATTCTCTCTTATTTTAGTTTTCTGAACAGGAGAAGCTTGAAGCGACAGAATTTTATTTCCTGGCAGGGTAATTTGTTTCAGAATGGAACCTAAAACAAACGAAGAACATGCCATAGGAGAAAGCAAAATGCTAAGACAACTGTTTAATCAGCTCATACTTCTAGCAAAAGCTGCTGCAGATGCAGGAACAAGTAATCAGGTCCATCTGAAAATCAGACACTCTAGAGGTCTTAGTTCTACACAGCCAAGCCCCTACACACTCTCAGCAAACACCTCCTCTGTGCTGACCAGTGAAAAGTTTTAGTGAAAACTGGCCATGTGAGACAAAATTCTCATCATGCATCAACCTGGACCTGTTGAAGGAAAAAGCAAAGTCTCACGAAACAACTCTCCAAAGCGTCACGGTTTAAAGGCAGTTCACTGCCAAGAGCTCACAGTACCTAAACAAGTACAAAAGCTTGACTGACAGCCCTTTAGCGGGCACCAGCAGCAGACACGGCCCCGAGCTTCTCATCAGAACTCCAAGCAGGCAGTGATGACGTTCAACGTAGCGCACAGCGCTGGTTGCTCCTGACAGACAACCACCTCCTTACATCCCTACCATCTACCAACAGCCTGCGCTTTTTCCGACACCTCTGCAGTCCTCTCCCTTCTCCACCAAAGAGGTTCCACTGTACCTGCAGGAAACTGCTTCGTTTGAACAAGCGCGTTCACCGGCATCCTCTCCTCAGCCGACGTCTGCAGGGCCAGCGCCGAGGGCTGCGGGAGCGTGGACACTTGCTTTACAACGGCTCCTGATGGCTGTTGGACCACCTGGAAGTAGAATATCCAACATCAAGACTGAGGAGAGCTAAACATACAGAGAAGTAAACAGTATCAAAGTGTTCATTTAGCAGAAGTGCCGCTGGACATGCATGTACGTCTAGCTTTCAGTTTGAAGCACGCAGCACGCTCAGAAAAACCTCAGTTTTTAATTTCATGGCGAGAAATATTAACAACCGGTGGTGAGCTTTAAGCTCCAGCTCACTCAGCGAGCTCTAACACACGCTTCGCCCCTGCTCTCCATTGATAACCCTGTTGATGAGTTTCACCACGTGTTACACAATCCGTTCACTAAAAGGCTTTCCTCTCCCCAAGTCTTAACGGACAACCGAATATTGAGTCTGCCTGCCGAGAAGTTTGAAAGGTAAGTACCACCTACACCTGGCTACAAAGGCAGAACACCAAAACAAAGTCGGCAGCCTTGCACGAAAGCCTTTTCCTGTCAAGAACCACGAGTACAGACTATGAAGTTACTAACGTATTTTTGGAGCCCCAACAGCAGTTGCACAGTGAGACGCTGAGTTTCGAAGTGTTAAGCAAAAGTACCCTGAACACACCAGTTTGGGGGAACACGAAGGAACAGCTAGCAACGCCTCCAGCGAGCAGAGCCTTCACACACAAACACCAGCACACTGCCGAAGGGTTAAAAAAAGGAAGGGGGCTGATAGTTTTGTTTAAAGAGGCTCTTGAAAGAAACAAAGCCAGACAGCAGGATGTCATCACAACACAGACCTACAGGCACAGCCCATAAATACTAATTCTTCCTCTTCAGCAGCAGCTATTAAAATGCAAGAAAGTAATAAAATTGCCGCATCCCTAAAAGCCTCATTTCTAAGCCTCCTAGCTAGCAGAACGTGGTCTGCAGCTTTTGATACATCCTCTAGAAAAGTTCTTGATTATAGGTAGTAGAAAGATGTGCTTTTACCATAAAGCTATCAACATCTTCAGGTTGAATCCTATTTTTGTAGCGGCAAAGAGCTAATACAAAGGAATTTTCAGGGTCAAGAAACCACTTTTTCTCCTCTACATCTTTTATTCTAACTGCAGAAAGTCTAAAGAGTGCTTGTACAGCAACACTGCACAAGTTTAATTAAATCAAGATGCGACATTTATTATACTTCAGAAATTAGGCTGTCTCCTTCTGTCATCTAACTTCAGATTTATCAGTAAACATCATCAGTATAAGCATCACACATTCACAAAAGAGGTACTTTGTGTATCAATTAGTCAAGATACACCCCACCCATCCCCAAATTAACAGCACCATGGCTTGGCACAGCAGCGGTAATGTAGAACAACTGAGCTGAAGGTGGTGTCTGAAAACCAGATAACGAGCAGACAGTTCTTGAGAAGAAACGTAAGATCCATAAGAGCAAAGGACCACAGGAGCACAGGGACAGACTGCAGACAGAGTCAAGGCTCCCTCACACGTGCAGCACTGCCTCACGAAGCGGTACAGACACCAACGTTTACTTCTGTGTTTTCACCAAAGCGCAGCTTGATCTGTCTGAAAGATCCAGCCTCCACACGCTGGAAGTCGCAAACAACGGTAACGGCATCATTTACGCGTCCAGGTAATTACCGAGCCACCGACCAGCTTGGACGAACGACTCGCAGGCTCCACCAGCCCCACGCTGACACGTACCTAGAGGTCCTCCCTGCCACCAGCGAGAACGATGCTTCAGCATGCAGCACACTGAAATGGCACGGGAGGAAACATTCAAGACTAAGGCACCGCAGACAAAAGAACAGAGACGGGCCATGCTAAATCAATAGTCTAGGTGAAGATTGGGAAGTCAGTCAAGCAACTGAGGAGAGCAGACCAATGAGAAACCAAAAGGATGTGTTGGCAGTAAAGCCGATTTTCTGTTTGCCATTCTAGCTGCTAGACTAACAAAAGCTGGAAGTCCTTGGGACTTGCAACACGAGAGGGCAACAACCCTAGAGAATTCAACAAGGATCTAATGCCCGAAAGAAGTATTACAAAAATAGGTAGTATCTGTGAGAAAAAGTTATTGTCTCTTTTCTTCAGATTAGTAGCACGGAGTAATAAAGAAAAGAGACTGTTCTTCGTGCCCTGCTAAGTAGGTTGACAGAGACATCAGAATGAAAATCACCCAACACTCTTAAGTAAAAAATATGCAATGCAGCATCCCGCTGACAGCATAGAGAGAGGCGGCTGCCTGAGAGAGACTTTGATTAGCCTTACTTGAACCTGTTTTACATTCAAAAAGCAGAGTTCAGAGATCAGCAGAGAGGTGTTGAGGTGTATCATC